CTCAGCTCAAATCCACTGCACATAGATTTATACAAACTGCCTTTATACCATCACTTTGGAAAAACAGGAGATAGTGTATTTTTTTTTTTTTTTGAAGGGGAAAATTTTGTGAAGGCAGGTCAGTCAACAGTAATGACTCTGGAGAGGCATCCTACCCTGCACCATTTGTGGGGGCTGGAACCAGAGCACTGGTAGCACTGCTTGTGGCTGGAACCAAGGTGCTGCCCCAACGTCACATGTGGATACATGCTTGTAGTGCCAGGCTGATGGCAGGTGTCTTCCAAGACTCGCATGCTCAGAGGCAGCAGGGCAGAATATAGAAAATAGTAACTGGAATCACTGACTGCCCCAAAACGCTGAAAATCCCCCAGCACCTCCTCATAACTCCCTCCAAGGATCATCTTTTCTACTGAACAGCAGCAGCAGCCATACTGCAAACAGTCCAACTTTAGCCTTCCTACCTTTCCACCAAGCAAGAAATAGGATGCAGAACTAGGTAAGGCTCTTCCCATGAGACAAAAGTAACAGAAGAAATGATACTCCAATAATAACCAGGTGCAGGGTTCTGACCTAGTACCTCGTTCAGCTGTGGATTTTAAATGTGGTTACAAAACTAAGGTATTGAGAATCCATCAAGAAACATTAAACACTAAGCTACTGCCTCTCACTTCAAGTCCTTTGCTACAGCATGCTGGCTGTACCGAAGGCGTGCTGGTGTTAACCCACCACAACATGTCTTGTGCTGTGCTCCTGGAAGAGGTCTGCCTCAGTTAGGTTGCTCAAATCTGCCTTTGCTCAGCCTTCTGGCTCAGTTTCATTAGACTAAACCAAGAAGAGAATGCCAAACGTAAGACAAGGTAAAAGAAGCTTGTGGGCTTTCTATGCTGCTAATACACATTCTGCTTTGAGTTCTTGTAGATTGTCCCCCATGTATAATTTCTTGCTTGTTTCCTTTGTTTTGAGAAAGGTTTTTCACATATTCTCTATGTTTCATATTCCTTTTGAATATTACCTTGCACTTGTCTCATCTCTATTCCAAAAAGGTACCAGAGCAACACAACAGGTATTTTCAGATACTCAAACATTAAAGTTAAACACTGGTATAGGCACATCTACTTAAATCAAAGATGCCTTAGAGATAAATGAACAAAACTGGCAAATGTTAGACAAATGAGGAATTTGATATTAAATACACCAGAAGAAGATTACACTTTTTAACAGTTACATAGTGGTTTACAAAATCTTAGGAATTAGCATTATACTTAGATGAAATTTGACTAAAAGAATTAGGATTTACTGTGCAGGTGTGAATCTGGCATCAAGGAAGAAAAAGAATGTGGATTTTCCAGCCCAAATTGTTCAACTTTATCTACTTTTTTGTTCCCAAACCCAGGCTATATATAAGATTTCCTACCTGCTTTCTCCTTCCCAATATCTTTATATATTATCTGATTTCAATCAACTTGAATCAACAAGCAATCTTAGGGATGTTCAGCTCCCCTCTCAGATATTTTACAGCTCCTTCGCTAGTGAAAAATACAATAAAAGATAATTCAAGAAGCCAGAGGCCTCATTGTATAGCCAGTCATCATCATCTTCCTCAGGACGTTTTTTTAAGATGAGTTCAACCTCTTTTCTTCTTTTTCTTGCTATAACTGTTTCAGCTATAATGACCTATAGTTTGGGATGTTAGTATTTTTCCTTAAAAAAAATAATTTATACTAGCAGGGGAAGAACACAGGTCTTTCCCCTGCAATGGTGATTTACCATCTAGTATTAAGAAATGTAAAAGGAAAAATGTTCTGATTTTCCCTAACTTAAAGTTCTGCTGTTTGAAACCTACCTTATACCTTATTGATAGGGCTAGGGCCACTGTAGATTGCCTGAAATGTCCATTCAGATAATTCTACTTTCACTTGTCTATAGCTCAGTTAAACTTTTATAATTTGGTCTGAGTT